GCAGTGGGGCATTAATGGCTCCTGGTACAGAAAGGCCGGTTCTTAAACCCCACCCCACTTTCAATCCCTTTTCCTGTCCTTAGGAAGGGTCTCTGAGGTTTTCTCCAAACTGGGTTTATCTAGCATCTTCTTCTATGGGCAGCGGAGAGGCGAGGGATGGCGATTCTGACTCCTGATGTTGGCAGGCAAGGTGGAGAAGCTGTTCTTGTCCTGGGGTCTGCATTGCATTTGGGAAGGGGGCGCATTGGCTAATCTTTCCAGACGGAGTTTCCTCAGGCGGGTCAGGTGTTGAGGTGGGAAGAAGGAATGCTTCTCTACCTGCATCGACCCCTCAGGTTACGTGTTGCGATTTCTCTTTCTTGACTGTCAAGGGAAAGACCTCTTACTCTTGAGGTTTACTGAGACTTGGTGTAAATGTCTTCCATTGGGCCATAGGACATATTTCACAGCTACAAAACCAGATCCACCGTTACAAGGTAGGGGATCCTGGGCTCAGTACAGTGGACCCTTGACTTACAGACGGCTTGTCTTACAGACTTTTTGAGTTACAGACTTCTCTGGCCGCAAAATTTAGGTTTGACTTGCAGCCTGAGATTTGACTTACAGACCAGAAAAAAACCAAAATGGAACAAAAACGGCCTGTTACGGGATTAATCGGTTTTCAATGCACTGTAGGTCAATGGAGACTTGACTTACAGACTTTTTGACTTGAGAACCGCCTTCCAATATGGATTAAGTTCTCAAGTCAAGACCCCACTGTAATACTACAAGTGAAAAGGACCTTGCTGAGCCCACAGTGCGATGTGGCTGCAAAAAAAGGTAAATGTGATTTTAGGGTGCATTAGCAGAAGTCTCGTCTGCAAATCTCATGAGGCACTGTTCCTCTCTCAATTCAGCACTTGTTAGGCCTCATCTGGTGAGTACTGTGTCCAGTTCTGGACACCACACTTGAAGAAGGATGCCAACAACCTGGAGCAAGTTCAGAGGAGGGCAACAGGGATGATCAGAGGACTAGAAATGAAGCCCTGTGAGGAAAGACTGAAAAAACTGGGCATGTTTAGCCTTGAGAGAAGAAGGCTGAGGGGAAATACGATAGCACTTTTCAAATATTTGAAAGTTTGTCATGCAGAGGAGGGACAAGCTGTTCTTGATCATCCCAGAGTGCAGGACATGCAACAATGGCCTCAAGTTACAGGTAGCTAGATTTCAGGGGAATATCAGGAAAAATGTCTTAATTGTTAGAAAAGTACAACAATGGAACCGATGACCTCAGGTGGTGGGTGGTGAGTGTTCCAACACAGGAGGCCTTCAAGAGAAAATAGGACAGCCATCTGCCAGATCTGCTTTGATTTGAATTTCTGCCTTGAGCAGGGGATTGGAGTCAATGGCCTTATAGACTCAATTATTCTATGATTTTTACTCAGTCCTTTGTGCAGTTTACTCAAGGTGCTGTATGTGGATGTGTTCCCACAACAGCACCATAGACAGATTGTCAGTCTGGGCAGTAGGAACTTTCTCTTTTTATGTGCTTCAGCTGTTTACTGAATGCTATAGTCACCTTTAGTGACTCACCTTTTTCACCTCCCTTTTTCATGTCACTCCAGTGCTGTGCTGGTTCATCCCAAAGGCCTGTAGTTCACCATTCTGTTTCCACAGGGGGCAAGTAGATGCCTTTATGGGCAAGTATAGGAGAGATGGGATATTCCTATTCGTATCCCTGGGGATACAAATACCGTGGACACAGGTGGCAGGAAGTCAAGTCCCTCCCATCGAACCGGCCCGTCTACTTATGGGTCGCTGTGTGGTCCATGCAGCCAGCAGCATCCCCATCATGCTAATTGCAGAACTAGCCTCTCTGGCGCTTCCCCACCTCTCTGTGCTGCTGACTACTCAGCAGCTGAGTGGTGAAACTCAATCCTGCCTCCTCACTAGATTGGTCAGCAGCGCAGGGAGGTGGGGAAGCCATCTGGGCTACTTCCGCATTTGACACAATGTGGATGCTGCTGGCCATGCGCACTGCGCAGTGACCCATAAATGGACAGGCTGGTTCAGTGAGGGGACGGGACTGGACCTCCCTGCCACCTGTGTCCACAGTATTTTTATTTGTATCCCCGGGGATACTTTCCCCCCAAATTTTCCAGGTTTTTCCCAGGCGGTCCCATCTCTAGGAGAGGCATTCAGTCTCTGAGACAGGAAGTACTAATCTATAGCCGTGTGGGTTTGTCTAATCAACTTCTAGAGCCATCCAAATGATCATCAATATATCATGTGATAGAGCAAATTCCATAGTTTGTACTGTAGTTGAAAGCAGTTTTTTCTTTGTCTCAACTCTCCCATCTTTCAGTGTCATTGGTTATGCCTGGCCTCCACTGTTTATGAGAGAGCCAGAAAAACTTTACCCTGTCCACTTCCTTCTGAGCAGGCATAATTGTTTATCTGTTTTAGCATGTTTCTAAGCTAGAGACCATGAAACAGAATCTGATGGCACAAGGGAGTTAATTGCTGGAATCTTTTGATTATTTTGCACACTATTTCTCATCAAAAAACTTCCTACTATATCCTTTTTGAAGTGTGGTGCTTCAGACTACACTGTATATATCCTTGGTGTGGTTGCACATGAATTCATGTGAAAGAATTAAGGCATTGGAGATCTTCTGTTTGGATTCCTCAAGTACAACTTTGTAGACTGATCATGAAAGTGTTGATTGTTACAAGTTTTATATAATAGCTAAGCTGGTATGGGAAATGCCTCCCCATGGTGTGTTTTGTTTAGTTTTGTATTGTTTTGTTTGTTTGTCTGTGTTACTGATTTGTAGGTATTTCTGGTTTGTCTTTTGGTTCCTGCTTTGTATTTTGTCTTTGTAGGTATATATGTTATAAAAAATAATAAAATATATGTTTTAAAAAAAGTGTTGATTGTTGGTGAGGGCAGCTCTGAATCTGAAGTTGAGAATTCAGGGGATGTTTGATGAGGTCGGTTTGTAAGCTGCTTGGTTCTTTTATGTCATTGTAATAAAAGATGTGGAGGAAACTGCTTTCTTTTTGCTCACAATATATAAATGTGTGCATCTTTTTTATTTTAGTGTCTTAAAAGGGGAAGTATAGTTAGGATGTGTTTTGTACAAATAGGACCCCCATATCTGCGGAGGATCGGTTACATGATCTGCTGTGGATAGCTGAAACCATGGATATATGAAATCTATGTAGGGCAGTAGTAAAATTGCAAGAAAGTGAAGCTGCAGATGCCAGTCCCGCAGATAATGGGGGTCCCCACTGTATGTATTGATATTTGTACATATTAAATTCATAAAAAAACACATGGATCCATCTTTTATCCGGTGATTTTTGTTATAGTTAGTAAGCCCCCATTGTGAGCCACTGTGCAAGAGGGAGTTTCTTCTTCCTTCCTTCCACTATAATTCAACAGAACAGAGAGAAACTACACACTGATTGTGAGCCTTGACTAGATATAGGTAGAAATGTAGAAGAGGGAGTTGTCTTTCAGCCTGAATGCCTTCTCTGGGATGTAGAGAGGGCACGGGAGCAAAGGGGGGAGGGGGAATCTTGTCACAAATCTTTGTTTATCTGCTGTGAATCCAATAGGCTGAACCTACCATTCTTTTCCTGTGTTACAACTGACTCATCCTTGAACATCTTTCAGCAAAGGCATTTTTAGGTTTCTGGGCCACCTTAGAAACCTTCCTGTTAAACTTGCAGGGTTTTTAGTAGAAAATTGAGAAGCTTTGTGGGGTTTAGAAAACAAAAAATAACCCCTGATTAAATGTTTCTCTTGGAATGAGTCAAATGCTTCTCAGAAACAAGGCTGCCCCTCCTTGAAGGGCCATGACAGTTTTTTCTGCAAAACAGTCTGCAGAACTAGAGAATAACTGCTGTTTGTACTCAGATCCAGGGTGCATTTCTGTACCTAGTGAGTGCCACAATCTTTGTCAGAGCAGCGAAAGGGTGGGGGCTGAGTTGCTCTTCCTAGATAGCACAGAACGCAACAGATTGTTTTCTCTTTTTACAGATAGCTATGCAGTTTTGCTTGTTTGAAACAAAAACTTCCATTTTTTCACACTTCATAAACACACCAAATAGTACAGTTTTCTGTGCGAACAAAATTGTGAATGAAATGTTGTATTAGTGAAGCAGTAAAGTAAGCTTAGTTTTGCTATAAAATAACTTTTTGTTTCTTACTGGGAACTGGGTAACCTTGGCTTATTCTAAGTTTGGGTACAGCAACTCTAAATAGTGGGGTTGTGTGGCATCCAAAACTGTCTCTCAAGATTTTTCCAGCCAACACTTTTTTTTTGCTTTCTAGCTTGCACTCAGGACCTGAATTTGATCCTGACGGGTTCAGGTCGCTGGCTCAAGGTTGACTCTGCCTCCATCCTTCTGAGGTTGGTAAAGTGAATACCCAGCTTGCTGAGATGGGGAAATGTGTTGTTTGCATAACTATGTTGTAGACAACTCAGAGAGTGCTTTAAGCACAATGGGGCAGTATATAAGCCGAAAACAACAACTTGAATATAAAATAAGTATTCTATAAATTTCAACGCCCTGCAAATTTCATGGTTTTTGTCTTTGTGTGTGTGTGTGTGTGTTTTCCCCCACCCCTTTAAATACACTCTCTTGCCTAGGAGGATGGAAATGTTTTTCGCTTCCCATATCTGCAGCTTGGCAGTTTTACATATCCACACCTTGCCAGTCAAGGTTTCTGTTCGGACTGGAACCTTCTTTGTTTCATTAAAACAATGAAGGTTCCAGTCTTCTTTGGCCTTCTTTGTTTCATTAAAAGATGTGGTGTCAAGGTTGCCAATGCCATGGTTAAGTGCGAAAAACAACATAGGAAGGTATGTGAAAATGCACTTGTGATCTGCCCATTTCCTACTAAGAAACTGTGAGAATGAAAGATTTTTCATTTTTGCAATCCAGTTGGGGTCCTTGTGATGGGTACTGGTGACGTTTATAAAGCACTAGTTCTGTTCCTTCCTTCAAACTAGGAAACTGTGGTCTCGCTGAATGCATTTCAAAGTAAGAGTGCACCTTTGGCCGGTGCAGCCAAGCAAGGGAAAGCTGATTGCCCTGGGAATATTAGGAGTTCAGCGTCTTAAGTTATTTGTGCATGAGAGGTTTATGCCCTGAGGAGTACTTTCTTCCTTGCTGCTGATGGAAGTTAGCTTTAAAATTCTTGATTAGAATCATTTGTTGCCGCCAGAATGGAGTTTCACAAAACAATTCCAGCTTTTAAAGCCCTTCCGAACAGTCTGGGCTGCTCATGGAGTGTGTTGTGTGCTGTGCCTGGTGTACAACAGAGATTGTCCACTAATAAGCATGGGAAACTGTGTTCTGAACAAGTGTTAACGAAGAGATTGAATAACACGTTTGTGGTGGAGAATCCAGAATGTGGGCCACCAGGATCTAGAGATGATAGGCCACCAGGATTTAGAGATGATGGGCCACCAGGATCTAGAGATAAAAACTATCTTATCTTTCTTTTAACTTCACCCACTTTTCAAAAAAGATCTGCCCACTAGAACACCAACCCAGTTAAGACTTTATTTTTTTGCTGTACTGAGCAGTGTGTGCAGTTCCTTTTCATCTTTACATGGGTATGGTTTTATTTTTTAAAAAAATGCCAGGAAGCATTACTGTGTTTGAGGCATTGCATAGAGATGGGGCTAACCTTGTAACTGTTACCGTATTTTTCTGTGTATAAGACTATACTTTTGTCTAAAATCTTTAGATTAAAAATTGAGGGTTGTCTTATACACGGAAGTCAGCTGAGGAGAGAACAAAAAGACATGGAGGGAAAAGTAGGGATCAAAGTGATCCTGCAGTGCTTTGATCCCTGCTTTCCCTTCCAGTTGCTAAGTCCCACTTAGATTTCTTAATTCTGGGTTAGAAAAGTAGGGGGGGGGGCATCTTATACACGGAAAAATGCGGTAATTGGGTGCCTAAATATTGCATGTGACTTCTAGGAGTCCCAGCCAATAAGGTCAGTGATTCAGTGACTTGTAGTCAAACAACATATAGGGATCCATGCTTAAAAACCACTGGCATAGCTTAGTTCATTGTACCTGCTTACCCTTTTGATGAGCCAAGGTGTCTCTTTTTCTTTATTTTTTAAATTTTCGATATAAACATTTTCAGAGCAGCTTGTCAGATTGAAAGAAGGAAATTAAAATTTTGGAATTCACTGGATAAAACATCTACAAAAGTCACAGCAGGAGTTGAAAGGTTCGATACAGAAGTTAGCTTAGTTGACTGGAAGGAATTAGCACTCAGCTCTGTAGATAACTGCACATTTGGTCTAGGGTCTTTTATCACCTTTGCTGTCAGATCCAAAGTTTAGTACCTTGGAACACCACATTCTGTCAATAAATGCAGGTTAATCAGTAGGCAATATGGATTAATTTTTCATGGGTTCACTTAGTTTTGGTGTCTTAAGATCTAGTGTTTGGGGTGGATTAAGGCAGGCCGTTACTGGGCTTGCTAGATAGGCAGACACAGAGATAAATGAGATTAGTAGAAAAGCCATTGGAAAGCCACAGCGAAGCCGTTCATCTCACTTCAAGTCCAGGCAATCCCAAATGAAAGCATTGCTATCATATTTCTGAGCTCTCTTCTGGAGCCACGTAGTCCCTTCAAATACGGAGAACCTCAGAAATGGAGTCTCAGAAGAGGAGAGATGAGATAACTTGAGGCACATGCTTGCTTAGGTTTAGAAACTGCCCCCTGTTTGTGTCTCTTCTACTTGGTTCTATTTAAGTGGTGTTCTTTGCTGTTCTGTTTAATTATAACAGTGTCATGCTGGGCTCTCAGCAAGGATGCCTAAATTATTTGCCACAGTGGATTATAAATTGTGAGAAATAGGATGAGTGAGAAATGTCCCATCGAGATGAGTCAAGACATTTTTTTCTTCCTGCCTAAGCTGTGTTCGCACTATCTGGGGAGGTGAAACAGCATCATTTTTGCATCTTCTTATTATAGTGCATATTCAGAAAGAAGCTGTTGGAGCTATAATGGTTCGAAGTGTACATTCTAATTTTTTTTAAATAAATAAATCACAGTTTAAGGGCTTTAATACTTAGCTAGGCTTCTCGCTGCTTCTGTTCCAACTATGGGTAGTTGTACGTTAAATCATAAAAAATTCAAATTGGACATTTCAGTAGTTATTTACAGTTCCTGGAACCGTTTATGGAAGCCGATAAGGAAACTCATGTTTCTCTAGTTCTGTCGTCTTAAGGGAGAATTATTTTCAGTCAGTCTAATTATTGACTTTTGCAGGTGAGTCAGGGCCTACAAGTGGGTGACTCTCTGACCTATGCAGTGTGAATAACACATGAGTAGCACCGTGAACAGGGCCACCACTATTCGAAAGCCAACTTGTGTCAGAAGGAAGAGAAATGAACCAGAAGGCAGATCAGCTGTCTCAAAATCAAGAGTTATGAGGAAGAGGATAAAAGGATGCCTAACCCTTCTGATGAGATGCCCCACGTAAAATGCTATCACTTGCAGAACAGTTGAAAGTATTGTTCACTTGTTCTTTCTGTTTGGTCACCTAGGCTCGTAAGGATGGAGTCATGGAAAATTAAAAGAGAGGTTAATATTGAAGATGGATGTTGTATCTCTTTCTGAAGGAACTGAAGACTAGAAATCTAGATGGTATCTTACTCTTTGGTAGTTAAGAAAGACTATGTCTATCTCAGAGTAGCTGCTGGAAAGGTTTTGGACTGAGTTAAGTTTAGCTTAGACAGTCAGCCTTGCAGATCAAAACTTACTGTCATATATTTGTAATATCATATATGTGTAATATCAAGAAAGGTTGAAGATACTGTAGAGAGCAGAAATGCTGTTGACATTGAGAATCCCTTCAGAAAAGGACTCTTGTCACTGCTCTTGTGTTGTTGGGCAGTGTGGAAATTGGCAGTTGCCCCAGATGCTGTTCTTTGCCAGGGGAAGTGGGGCATGGCACTTTGTAGTAATGGAGAAAATACTTGGATAAGAGAGAGAAGATTATGTTGTTTGGAATGCGTACTGTAGGAGGTGCCTATTTATTATCTCTGTGAAACATTCAAGACATAAATGTGGGCTTCCAAATATAGCCTATGTGAGGAAAAAGCTATTACTGGTACTGTATGTATTTGATTTTCTGAATTTGGAGGTGGGTTGAGATCTGCTGATAGTTCATTTTTCACTTCGGTGTATTTGCACTGCCATTATTATTGGTTCTACCAAATTTTGGGATACATTTATCAATTGAAGTCTCAAAAGAGATTAATTTATCAGTCCGTCTTAGCTTTGGGTGAACAAGTGTTCGTTAGTATAATAAGATAAAGTTGTTGGGGGGGAAATAAGGTAAAGAATGTGGTTCCTTTTCTGTTCAGTTCTAACTGTTAAAAAGCAGCCCAAGTAAGTATGCCAGGCAGATGTCTCTGGAAAATAGCTGAGCCTCCATCCTGACATTCTGGGTACTTGGGACTCAATGTCTGTGGCTACTGTTGTTTGACATAAATAGTTCCTCCTTTTCTTACAGCTTTTCTTCTCACTTTGGTTTGAAGTCAGGGCAGGATGGAGATGTTCAGCTTCTAAGAAAGAGTTCTATATATTCTTTGATTCTCACCCTCACATGATATATCTCATATTCTGCCTTCTATGCTCATAGCAGTAAGATGGGAGATAGGCACTAAAGAACAGAATAAGCTCAGACTGGGAGCTACAAGTAAAGCAGAAGCAAAGTGTGCTGCGTATAGAGCGCCCCATAGCGCTTAAAGCATTCTCTAGGTGGTTTACAATTTAATTCTTCAAGCTACACATTGCTCCCCCACCCCACCCCAGCAAGCTGACTTTTACTGACCTTGGGAAGGGTGGAAGGCTGAGTGAGAATCTCCAGCTGACTGCCTGGGATTGAACTGGGTTGTGAGCAGAGTTTTGGCTTGCAGTTCTGCAGTGGAGCGCACCATAGCGCTTAAAGCATTCTCTAGGTGGTTTACAATTTAATTCTTCAAGCTACACATTGCTCCCCCACCCCACCCCAGCAAGCTGACTTTTACTGACCTTGGGAAGGGTGGAAGGCTGAGTGAGAATCTCCAGCTGACTGCCTGGGATTGAACTGGGTTGTGAGCAGAGTTTTGGCTTGCAGTTCTGCAGTGTAACCATCGCTCCATGAGGCTTCTAGCAGTGGACAGGCTGGTACTTTGGAGTTGTGAGCTGGAGAAATGAGGGACAGTTGTGTGGGCTCCACAAGGTGTGTACTGAACTTGTCACTGCCCTTGGGAGCAGGCTGGTACTCTGCAGTCTACCTCCTTAAGCTCAAAGTTCAAAGAGGCAGGCTGTGGCTCAGCTCTGAGCCCAGCTGGTGGTCTGAGCTCCTGGAGGCAGAAGCAGAACAAGCCCA